GCTTTGCATGTAGCACAGAATTACTTCGGCTGTTTCTTCGCATTGCCAATTGTTGTATCCTCGATGAGATGGGGTGTCGCAGCTGGCAGGAAAACCATGGTTTGTCTTCTTCGCACACCTCTTAGATTGGAGATTCACTTATTCCCACTTGCTCATCATCTACATTCTCTAACGACATTTATCCCATCTCATTAGGTGGCAACTGTTGTACTCTTGTTTGTCTTGTCTGGTCCAGTGAAAGCATTAAATTATATGGTGAGTGATGTCTTATAAACCACAAAAGATGTATACATAGGCTAGTGAATATCAAATTTTATCGTTGCTTTATTTTGTTACTTGTTGGCCGTTCTTGTGCTATGTTCACAAAAGTATTATTCGTATTTCCACCACTGTTCATGTTTCTGTGATGTTTCTTGCTAAATTAGCTACACTTCTCTCCTGAATCAGCTAATGCATGGTTTTCTTGGCTTCACAATGGGTTCGTTATGGAGGTATGTTGTTAGTTTGTTATGTCTCTCCATATCTGAATGCTTATTCGTCAAGTTTTTGCAATGGAATCCGTTTTGACTGGAAATCTTGCAACGGTTATATGCCTTGTCGTAACCCCTCCCCCAAAAAAGGACAAACATTAATCTGCAGTGTTGCGCAATACGTATTCACTGATCCCAGAAACATGACTTCAACTTGAGATGTGCTGGAGTTCAGTATATACAAAGTTATCCGCTGGACCATATATCGTTCATCCTTCACATGAAATGTTGCTACTGTCTGATGTTTTAATTATTACTTGCCCTTATATTTGTTGCCAGGTTGAGAACAAGTTGGGGTGCCTCGATCTTCTTGTGTGCTCTTGTATGTTCTCTCCCTCCACTGTTTTACCTTTTTGAGTGTGTTGTAATGAGACAATATCAACGAGAAACATACATTTTGATTTGCAGGCTCGGGCTGTTGGTGCTCTCGGATATGTTATATTATCCTCATTTTTAATAGGAGAAAACATCCTTGCTCTGGTAATAGATAGCTTCAATGATCAATTGCTCAGTTATTCATTACAGATGAATTGATTACTCTTCTCCTGTAGATCACGATAAACATTCATGCTTCTCTCTCGTACATCCTCACATCCTTAGGCAGTCCGATACTTCCATCTATGAACTTTATATACACCTTATTCGGGACTCTGGTACGTGTGATTTCTTCTTATCTATTCAATCTGGCAAGAACAGTAGAAAGCTCATGTTTCCCTTTCGTTTTACAACTTGCAGCTTTTGATAAACTGTGCATTTTTCGTGTCCTTGCTGCATCTTCTCTATGCCATTTTTCTTACTAAATTTGGCATGAAAGCTAATTTGAGACTGCCAAGGTGGTTAGCCATAGCAATTTAAACAGGCTAAAGAAAGCACTCTCATTAAAGACGCGATAGGAATGGAACTTTGCTCAGATACTACACCACCGCGGTGGTTAACACAAGGTTATTTTGATCATCATTTATTCAAGACTGTCGATTTGAATCGACATCAACTTCATCTATCTATTGCTCAAAACAATACAAAGTCAGCAACAAGTCCAGTTTACTTGTACATGAATTTGAAATGCGTATTTGGCCAGTATCTAATGCACTGAAAACTCCACCTGGTTGGAGATGTAATATTTTTGTGTATAATGCTATCAATTTATCTAAAAAAAAACATATATTATTTCAGAAACTTCCCTCTGGTCTATGATATTACGTTTTCCAGAAACTTCCCTCGTGGATTATTTCAGTATAAAGAACTAATCAAAGAAATAGAGTGGGGAAGAGAAGAGAAATATATACTCCTTTCAAGTATCAACAAATCTAAATGAATTCAAATACAATAACAAACAATTCTGCAAACAACATAAATATTGTCAAAAGCATAACACCTTTAGGGGGTCAACTAATCGAAAAATCCTAGAGAAACATCTTAGTCAACTAAAATCGAAAGGGAAATTCAAAAAAGAAATTCATCTTAACTACTTGAACTAAACATGAAATCGAGTTCAAACAACGCTCTCAAACTGTGAAAAGTCAAAGAGGCACTCGTTGAACCCCAAACATCCTTCAAAAGCCAGGTTCAGGAATCGACTAGGTAAGGAAAGTCAAACTTCAATCCCAGGTAGTTCGAGGTTGAAAGCTAGAAACAAGAAGATCACTACTGTATCATCCACTAACCGAAGGAAAATATAACCTCGAGTTCATCAAGAACGAGAAAAAGGTGTACCAAAAATTAGAGCGCAAAACGGCTCAAGCTTCTTTCCTTGTTATCCTGTCATTTAAAAGTGAAGCATTAGGACTGGAAATGTTAATAAAGGAAACTGGATACTGAAGAATGGTTCTTGGATCCTTGTAACAAACATCAGGTTGATTGATTTTTACTGAGTAGAATGGGCACTCTACTCTAGATTTTGTGCTGAAATCAAATAATATATAGTTGGACACGGGGTACAATAAGAGTCGAGCACAATAGTTCTCACCTGAAACAGTATATCCCAAGCGCTGATGTGATTTCATGTATAACAGAAGTGGCAAAATGCAGATAGAGTGATACTGAACAAGATGGGAATAAATAATAATAATCAGCCAATAATTCATAGGAGTTAAAAAGAACGACAAGATAAAGGCACTTGATCGGAGATCTCTTGATCAAAAGTAGAATATAGAGCAGATGGTATTAAATCATCAACTCTCACGATTGGCTGATCTATCAATTTATTCTTCTCTACCTTGATTGCCAGAAAAGAAATGTTTGCAGATTCAGCAAAACTTATTTTTTTTTTCAAATATAGCTCAACAAAACAGCATATCATATCCATCTGAATCGCTAAAGCAGATGTAATACCTGAGTATGCAGTGTAAGCGAGAAGAACCCAGAACTCATCAACCATAGGAACTCTGCAAGGAAGAGATTCTCATGAGCTTACAGAAATACAAGAATTTCGAATAAAGAATATTAGTGATATGTGAAAGCATACTCTCCATAAGCTGGTACGACTTAAATTCCTTGAATGAATGAGACTGGTTTCAACTTACCCATCATTAAGTCTGGCAGTGAGCGCATTTGCAACGGCAAAAGGTAGACAAAGCAGAGACTGCAAACATAAAGTTATATTTCAAAAGCACTGAAACCACAATACATTGAAACATCTTCTATTTACTTGTCTTCTTCTTTCAAAAAATTATTCTCTACCATACTATCTGATTTAATATTCAATAAA